GAGTATAACAAGTTCACCCGAGAAAAGCCGAAAGAAAAATGGCTTCCATTTTTGAACGTACAAATTCACCTATCAGAAAATGGCTACATTACAAAGTGGTACCGAAAGCCAAGTAGTAAAAACATCTTGGTTCATTACCTCTCCTCTCACCCCTCTCACACGAAAAGGGCGCTTATAAGAAACATGTTGCGAACGGCAACCAACGTGTGCACGGGAAGAGATCAGAGAGAGGAGTCCCGGAACTTGGCACGGCAAATGGCCATTTCTAATGGCTACGAAACTGTAGCTCAGAATAGGTGTAGAGGAAATCGTAGGCCTCCAAACGACAACTCTAGCGATAGAAGGGTCCCGTTTATCCTACCCTTCATCTCAAATGATATAAGTACAGCTATAAAACGCTGCTTAAGAAGAATGGGCTTAGAGAATTCGGTGAGCGTAGTTGAAATACCACCGAGTAATCTTAAGCGCCAGCTAGTTCGTAACCGGCTATATGACCGTCTATGTACAACTCAAAATTGCATAATTTGCCCCAGTGGTAGAGACGGTGATTGCATGAGCTCGGGTATAGTTTATCTGATCTCCTGTAAGACGTGTGGTGACGAATACATTGGCGAAACGGGTAGACCCCTCTGTGTCCGCATGAAAGAACACCTAGCCGGCAAACATAGACCAAATACTCCGCTAGGCACGCATAGGACCCAGAGACATAACGGGGACAACTTCGAAGTATGTGTCACGATCCTCGCACGCGAATCAAGAACAGGCGCGAAAAACTCTCGAGGCACTCTGGATTAATTCCAGAAATCCGAAAATGAACCGCAGGGAAGAATGCCTCATTATCACGCGTGATATAAGGCAGTATATAAAACTGCTTTTCTGATATGAGGGGCACATTATATACTTCCATGTGATTTCTGTGCGGTTGGTCTCTACGTGACATACTTATTGGAAACCTCATAGGAAGCGGTGAGTGTGCAAAGCTGTGTTCAAAGTGATTGAAATCTTTGTTTAGAGTTTTTTTGTTTGGTTATGGAGGCGTCTGGCCGAGTAGATTGCTATCAACTTGACCTTTCCAGGCTCTGAGGAAGGCGAAATCCGCCGAAACGTCAGCTTAATCGTGGAGAAAGAATAATAACACCTCGCGTTTGCTCAACAAAAATACGAAGAAAAATACATCATTGCGCACATCGCGCAGAAGTCGGTGTTGTTATCAGCTAGCACAAAGCGTAGTAATATTTCGAAGCCGACTTTCCCTGAACCTCGGTATCACTAATCAATATGTATTCTTTCTTTGATGAGCTTACACGAGGTTGATAATGATGTTTATTTTCGGCTAACGTTTCGACGCCTTCGTCTTCCTCAGAGCCGATGATCCAAGTCGATGGTCCTCGCTTGTTATTCTCCTCGACGTGGCAGCTTCGCCTTCGTGTCGAGTTAGGTCTACTTCAGTGAGCCATCTCCTCGAATGAGGCATCCTTATTCAGTGATGTAAGTGATGTAAATCCTTACTCCTTACTTACTTCGAAATTTAGTACAGTATTTACAGAAATGGAATGAATGCACTCGGTGTTTATCAATCACATTGATGCGTCGTGTTTTGTGTCTATTCGGAGCATCTTAGAGTAGACTAATCACTCCAATGCCTTCATTTCAGCCAGCACAATATATTAATCGTTTGGAATGGGATACTTAGCTCCGAGCCACTACTCTGCTTCACCTGGAGAATTTCAGCAGCAGTAAGCTTCGGCTTCACCAATAATTGTCGGCTTTCTATTGCTTGCCCACTATCCTCGCTATTGCTCTTCTCGGAATTTCTCACATTGGTCGATCACGTAATGTTGTCGATCCGCTATCTATTATCGATTATGTGACACGATCTACCATAGACACTCGCCGTGGCGCTGTATGAGCTGAAAAACTCTTTTCTTATTGAGTAAGTGTTCCAATAGCTGCGCATCGGTCATAGAAGTAACTCATCAGTTTATGGGCTGCGAGGATTGTTATCAACGATATTTGGCAAACTCTCAGTGAATGTGAGCAGGTGGTCGAACATATAGCAGCCGAAATGAGCCAGTGATTTTGCTAGAGTCATCATCACAAAGGGTGCATGTGGCGCAGTGGTTGGAGGCGCCGTTGCGACACGCACGTTGATTCGATCCCCGCGCCCATAGCCCACCAAGCCCTCCATTTCCCCGGGGTCGACAAATGGTACCAGACTTGTCTGGGGGGATAGCAGCACTGGCTCGATACAGCGGTAGGCCACCACAAGTCATTGTAAAGATCAGATATGCATTCAATCACCTCCAACGATATTTAATGAAGTCGAATGAATGGCGCATTCCATAGGGTTTGGTCAACGCCGAGAGCTTTGTCCTTTTTTTTTATCCATCATCTCGAGTGGTATTTTGAGCATATCGGAGAATGCGTGAACGACTTCTGTTTTTCGATGATTGGAATGAGTTAACCTTGAATGCGTACCTAGTCGACTGATGGAAAGAATAAGCTTAGGTGATCTTGTCTGGTGGCAGCTTATACCAGATTTTCTCTCTCCTGTCGCACATAGTATAGCTGACTGTCGCTTTGTTGTTTTCCTATACTTGAACCACTGAATATTAAAAAGAAAGAATTCTAACTAAGAATACCAACGCACCTAAACAAAATAGGTATTTAGATATAGAAATTAACGAACACCAATGAACATAAGCCTGCCTCATCCGTCAACATATGTATTGTTAGCGACACCTACTGCATCATCTTTTAGCACGTATAAATCGTGATAAAGTGAGTTCAGATAATTTATTACCGTGTTCAATACTTTAAAAAAGACCTTGGAATTGAGTATGTTTCACATGGAGCACACGACATTCGTTAAAGCGTCTCAAAAATAATGCATTAATAAATCAGCACAAACAGCTGAGATATACCGATGGCAATTACCGGAAATTGTACAAGAAAAAACATTGGAGGATTTTACTGTATCACTTACTGTTAAAAGTTGTTAAAACAGAAAACTTTCAAAAGAAGGTAGACGGCACACCGCAGTTGAGAGCTGATCACCGATGCGGTCAGGACCAACCTCACTAAGAACTTCCAATGACGTGATCTTAACTAACGTAACTGAAACTCATTTCCAGCATATTATTACATATTTAATCAAAAAGGTATATATAGGTATATACGTGTATTCACGCGTATACATATAATGGATAAAAAGATAAAGCTTTCGGCGTTGACCAATCCCTGAGGGATGCGCCATACATTCGACTTAATTAAGTACCGTTGGAGGTGACTGAATGATTATCTGGCCTTTACAATGACTCGCATTGGCCTACCGATGTATCGAGCCAGTGCTGCTATCCTCCCAGACAAGACTGGTACCAATTTGCCGACCCCGGAGTGATGGAGGGCTTGGTGGGCTATGGGCGCCGGAATCGGTTCCACATGTGTGTCGCAGTGGCGCCTCGAACCACTGCACCATACGTGCCCTCCAGCATTTTACTACACCTTTATTCAAAAAGGTAATTCTGCTTTGCTTAAATTTAAAAGCGGTCCCAATTTGAACTTGACAGGAATATGTGCCCGTAGTTGGGCATCTCTGATCGCACGCAACGGACTTCTGTGACGACGTGCTGGTACAGCATGAGACGGGTAAACGACGCTTGGACTACACACGGAAGTCGAGTAGATGACATGCATCTGAAGAAGGAAAAGAAGAAGAAGAAAATTCCATGTTTCGAAACAGAAAAGAATAACTTGATAGAAACACACTTAAGAACCAATTCAGCCGGTGACTGATGTGAGATACTCAACAGCTTACGTTCTGGTGTTGGATCTATTGCTAGGTACTGTTCTTCCTGACACAATTGAGGCAACAAATCTAGTTTATTCCTGTAACAAAACGAATGCGTTAAGATTTCTAAGGGTTGACTCAAAAATTTTGCGTGTAACAAGCAATAAGACGTCATTCAACAATTGTATTACATACAGTGCATGCGATAGACAAATTCAGAAGCGACTTTTATTTAACCTTAGTGGGGACTGTCAATATTTTAAATAAAAAAGGATAAAGCATCAGCCTTGATCAATCCTCTAGAGATACGCCATGATTCGACTTCATTAAGAAACGTTTTGAAGTGATTAAATGCATATCTAGCCTTTGCAATGACTCGCGTTGGCCTACTGATGTATCGAGCCAGTGCTGCCATTCTCCCAGACAAGTCTGGTATCAATTTGACGACCCCGGAGGTATCGAAGGCTTGGTGGGCTATGGGCGCGGGTATCGATTCCACGTCTGTTTCACAGTGGCGTCTCCAACCACTGCGCCAAATGCGCCCTGCATGATACTGACTGTTTATTATATTAAATATTTGCTCAGGCCTATCAAATTGGTGGTTATTACCTCTTCCGAGGCTCAAAAGATAATAGTGATTTATACCAGCGTTGAATCGGTTGAGTGCTATGCAGTAACCCTTAGCTAATCTCTAAGCCTGCAAATAATCAATGCAGCAGTGACAACGCGCGTTTTCAATTAGCTCTCATTAGTTGCGTGTACTTTAGATAAGCACCTATACAAAAACATTAGCTTGGAATAATTCTTATGCTGTACTATCAGTAAAATAGATAATTATCATCAAACAAATACGGGGAAGTACGGCTCATTTTTTAGAAGCATTAGTCATCGGATAGTTAGCACAAGTTGGTGAGTGTGAACAATGGTATGAATAGAAACAATATTTCTTCCCATTTATAATTACATTATAGGTTTGCAATAATCTCGTAAATGGGTGACGAATACGAGCAACTAGGACCGCCTCGTGAGGCACCACCTCCAGCACTAGGATTACCAGGTGCAGCTCCACCACCTCCACCACCTGGTCTTCCACCACCTCAACCGCCACAACAGCCTGAAGCTCAACAGCCAGGTGTCACTAAGAGCTCATCAGCAATAAAGATCAAAAAATATCTGAAGAAAAACCAAGCAAAACAAGGTTAGATTTTATATGTTACGAGAGTGAATGACTTACAGGAGAAATTCTGAAACTATTTGTATATATGTCTATATATATATATATATATATATATATATATATGTACATGAATATACATAAATACTATATATAAATGCATAAGCATAGGAACCAAGGAAAAGCAGCGGTAGTAATGCCGTTCAATTCAGAATTCAGAATTTAGAAACTTCCAAGTCCGACTTTCTATTAACTTCGGCATTGATTGAATAATTCTTTCTACTTCTGTTCAGCAAACGCGAGGTGCTATATTATTTCTTTATTTACGGACAAGCTGACGTTTCGGCAGATTTCGCCTTTCTCGGAGCCTGGAAAGGTCAAGTTGACAGCAACCTATTCGGCGAAACACCTCCATAACCAAACAGAGAAAACGCTAAACCAAGATTTCAATCATATTTAACACAGCTCTTCACACTCACCGCTTTCTGTAAGTCTTCCACTGAGCCACTCGTGTGAAGACCGACCCCACAGAATCCACATGAAGGCGTAATGTGCGCCTCCCATCAGAATAACAGGTTTATATACTGTCCAATATCACGCGTGATAACAAGGCATTCCTCCCTGCGGTTCATTTTCGGATTCTTGGAATTTATCCAGAATGCCTCTAGATTTTTGCGCGCTTGTGCTCTCGATTCTTGCGCGAGGATCGTAACCCTCACTTCAAAATCTTCTCCGTTGTTTATGCGTCCTACGCGTGCCTAGTGGAGTATTTAGCTTACGTTTTCCGACTTTTTCTTTTTCTTTTTTTAACCTTTTCGACTTTTTTGTGTTCTTTTATAAGTGCGCAGAGTGGTCTACCCGTCTCGCCAACGTATTCCATTCTGCGACACCTAGTCGGCAAACGTAAGCCAAATACTCCACTAGGTACGAGGGTTACGATCCTCGCGCAAGAATCGAGAACACAAGCGCGCAAAACTCTAGAGGCATTCTGGATAAATTCCAAGAATCCGAAAATGAACCGCAGGGAGGAATGCCTCGTTATCACGCGTGATATTGGACAGTATATAAACCTATTATTCTGATGGGAGAGGCACATTACGCTTCCTGTGAATTTTGTGCGGTCGGTCTTCACACGACATACTCAGTGGAAGACTCATAGAAAGCGGTGAGCGTGCAGAGCTGTGTTAAATTTGATTGAAATCTTGGTTTAGCGTTTTCTCTGTTTGGTTATGGAGGTGTTTGGCCGAATAGGTTGCTGTCAACTTGACCTTTCCAGGCTCCGAGAAAGGCGAAATCTGCCGAAACGTCAGCTTGTCCGTAAATAAAGAAATAAAATAGCACCTCGCGTTTGCTGAACAGAAGTAGAAAGAATTTAGAAGCTCATGAATAGGCTCCACTCCGGTCAACTAAGCCTCCTTTCCGGGTTCGATAAAAAGGTACTGGATTGATCTTCGGTCATCTTACTTCTCTAGTCCATTAAAGATGGCCACTCTATGCTATGAAGATCTAGGAACCCCTTACCTTGTCTAACCCATTTAAGTTGGAGAACCTTCGTGGATGATGCTGGGCTTTGGAAAACATATGGCCACGAAAAAAGTGCAATGTGTTCAAAATGTATTTATCGGTATACGATGCAGTGGTTAGACTTGCCAGGCATTATATACTGATCGGTCGATGGTGCGATCCCAGACCACCAGCTCAGCAAGCTATCAATCTTGGATGTGAGGATGAAAACGCCAACTTCATTCGTCAGGAGGCCGCCGCAAGTCAATAGTTGAATGTGGCAAATATGCATTCACTCAATCCTAACGAGCTGCCAATGAGTCCAATTCATTACATCTCCAAGGGATTTATTGGCGCCGAACGTCTTATGTTTGCAACTTCAAATATATATATGTATATGTATACATATGTATAATGTGAAGCCTCTGAAATGATTCCTTAAAAAATGTTACGGAAGGAAAAAAGCAAAAAAAGCAAGGAAGAAGGAAGAAAAGTGGGCAAGAAGATGAGTCAGACGTCGCATCTTCAGCTATACAAGCTGCACCGCGTGTATCACAAGTAACTGCTTGTTGCTATTGTTACTGATTATGTCTAAGGTGATATCCTTGTTGCCATTGCAACCGTATCACATATACCATCTTCATGAGCCAAAACGACTTACAAGATGTGACACCTGAAAGAAAGTTTGTTTGCTGGTTTACCTATTTTATGCAATACCTTCTTAGGAGTTGTATCATCGGTTATGCAGAAGTGCCACCGGTGTGGGGTAATAAATATTAGCACATAATTGATCGTATAGATTGATATCAGTGTAAAAGTGTGTGGGCGATAGACATGCGATAAAAACAATGATAGTAAACGCACTTCAAGTGGAAGATTGAGGAACACAGAAGTGGAATAGTCGCTTGAGCTAAATGATTGTATGTATGTGTATGCGTCCATCTGTATACACGTTGCCTGCAGAACGAGTACTGTTTATGCCTACGCACTCCATTTGCAGATGTTAATTCTAGCCACGTATAATTTTTTTCAATATCCTTTTTGTATTTATGAGATTTAGATCCATAGATGTGTTACGCCAAGAGTAATTCAGATACTGCATATTTCCTAACCTGTAGCTCATTTTCTACGATTTCTTTCGGACGAGTTTCTTCGTCCCACCATGACGATTGTTGTTTATGAAGAGAGTACAAAGGTGCATTAGCTGGCTAGAGCGCAATAAATGAGTAGAGTGATAAGAAGTCTGTACTGCAGGAACATTAATGCAAGTGTGCCACACTCCGTCTTCCTGTTTGGTGTAGGCGTGATGCGCAGAAGTAACACAAATATTCTTGCTAGGAAGATACTCAACTCTTTGGGAGAAAAGCAAGGTATTATGGACCATGTGCTTTGGGTTCAGTGCATGGTGGACTGGGGATGAGAAAATAGTCTTTATACTATGGAACGTTCGATGAATATTATACGATGTTGCAATTATGTTAAAAATACCATTTAGACGAACAACACTAATGCTTTCACACTTACTCATGTTTCTAGCATCAGTGCCATCGATTTCCACCCTTTTCATATCATGGTAATCTTATCCGAGGCAAATTTTAGGATTTTCTGGTGGGCTGTAGTGTTCTGATCTTCATCGCCATCGTGCTCGCCGTAGTTTTCACTATTGTTGTGCTGCATCTGACCAATCTTATTCAGTGGTTTCCATTTATCAACAATCTATTGTGAAGCACCTTTGATGAAAGAGTGTAGAACTGATTTCATACCATACAAATTAGCATTTATTAGCATTTGTACCATTTCCATACCTTTTCGTCATGGATTTGTTTGTGTATTATGACGTGTATTAATAAGGTAGATATTTTTGAAATGGCCAATAAAGATTTTCGTACTGAGCACATCTTCTGCAATTCGCTATGGAAAGAGGGAAAAAATACAAAAATCATAAGAACATGGCGTAGGATTTTTATGAGTTGACAAAATCCAGATTTCGTGAGCTACCATACCATAATAAGGCAGAAGGCCGACCAGTCGCACCAAACGCTGTCGCTCTGGATGAATCCTTGTTCTAGCAGCTGAACTTCTATCCAACTCACAGTGGTCAGTGGTGGCCAATAGCTTGTAAAAAATTAGGAGTGACCTAGCACAGGTCTCTTAAAATCAGCAAAAACCGCTCTCGAGTGCTAATCAACAATCCAAAAGGCAGAAAAGAATATAGGTCTTTAAGTCGTAGGCAAAAGCACAAATATGTCCACTGTCCACAGATGGCAATTGCCAGAGAGCGGACTGTATTTTTATTCCATAGAATCCGCTCTCTAGCAACTACTATCTGCGGAGAGTGGACATATCTGTGCTTTTGCCTGCGACTTAAAGACCTATATACTTTTTGTACAATCTATTGTATAGCCTTCACGAACTTTCTGCAAAAGCAGCTCTATCAGATTGCGCTGAATGAGAAACATTTTAGAATCAGCTAGTGAGCATTAACTCTAGTTCCTTCGGACAAAACCGTACCCGTTACGGAAGGAATATAAGGAGCATTGCGAGACGTCCCACTTAGCTTCGCTCAGGTTCTTTCAGCTAGTTCGCTAGCTATTGCTCTTACAGTCCTCTTCGTCGTCTTGGCGCATATATTCCTTACACTTCTGGTTATGGTGACATCGTTAATATTTGTATTTATACTACTGCTGTAAATAATTATAACCTAAGCTCGATATTGTGCTCTGTGGCAAAAGGTCTTACGTGGCAAGTTCGTACAAAGTGAAGCAATCTACTTCGAGCTAGTGATTATTCGCTGCCGAAGACTGACTCGTAGATATGCATTCCACCGACGAACGTTCGAATGTTCCCACTGTGTACGTAACTCATCAATTTTTTTGAGTGCAGACCCCGTGAAGCATTTCTTCGTAATAAAACATTTTTAGTTCTTTTCTGAAATAGTCACTTATCAGCATCGTAATCCGAAGGAGTAAGTGAACTACAAAGTCACTTGAAGATTTTATCGTGTTTTAACAACAGCTGCCCTTTTACTGCCCACCGATTACGAATGGCGTGGAGGATCGGAAAGGTGCGTCGATGAAATCTCTTTCTTCTTTGCTTATCTACCGATGAAGTAATATGTCAAAATTTGCTACATTGACAAAGAAATGAGTCGTATATGTCTCAAGTGGTACAGTGCGAAATGAACGCCGGTGGAGTCGCATTTGATTCACTTTTTCTCGAACATTTTCCTCTCCGTACAGAGATTTTTACTACATTTTTTGTAACTATATGATAGTTTAACCAACGCAGATGTTGTGATTGGTGTTGGTCAGGAAAACTGAATCTCACAGCTACAGAAAACCTTCCTTCGTACCAGTTCATTAACCGTCAGTTTAAGCAGGTAACTGGCTGTTATTTCAAATTTAATTGATGTTATGATTCACTTTTATCGCGTAGAACTTGCGGATGTAAACGACTGAAGCAGACTTAACAAAGTTTGCAAAACAGGTCGAAGTGCTAACAGGAACGTTTTGCACGGTGGACCAAT